TCATTTGAGCAAAAAATCAATTCAAATCTGTCAGTGCCAAACAAGAAGTATTTAAGAAAACTCCATTGGGAAGCTCAGGGAAAGACTTAGACAGAGAGTGCAGAGACAAAGAAAGGAAATCATTGGTTGGTTATAGCAGAAAGCCCACTTGGCTGTTTGTGATTAGCTGTCCTTAGTTTCAGTTTTGTAACCTTGAGGTATTTCCAGGCTTAGGTTTTCGTTTGCCAACGGAGGCCACCGGGGCTCGAGATCCACTTCATCCAATGACCTCCTTGTTTAATTTGACAATATAACGTTATAGTAACACATTTTATTTCCTTTTTTTTTTTAAATTAAAAAAAAATTTTTTAATGTTTTATTTACTTCTGAGAGAGAGACAGCGTGAGCAAGGGAGGGTCAGAGAGAGAGGGAGACACAGAATCTCAAACAGGCTCCAGGCTCTAAGCTGACAGCACAGAGCCCGCCGCGGGGCTTGGGGGGCTCGAACCCACAAACCATGAGATCATGACCTGAGCTGAAGTCGGACACTTAACCGACTGAGCCACCCAGGCGCCCCCCAAAATTTGTTTTTAATATTCTATTTATTTTTGAGAGAGAGAATATGAGCGAGGGAGGAACAGAAAGACAGGGAGACAGAAGATCCTAAGCAGCTATGCGCTGAGAGCAGCAAGCCTGATGTGGGGCTCGAATTCACCAACTGGGGAATCATGACCTGAGCCAACATCAGACACTCAGCGGACCGAGCCACCCAGGTGGCCCTATATTAACAAATTTTGTAATATTGGATGATCCTATAGTGTCTGATAGAAACTAAAAGATGGCCAAATATTTACCAGGCAATCCTATACAAAGAATAAATACATAAAGCAAGAAAAATCAGACCAATATCATACAGTTTAGTGGTAAAGGCATAAAGCATTGAGATACAAATGATTGTCTTATTTTACTTTATTTTATATTTTGCTTGTTTATCTTTGAAAAATAGAAACAACATGGACAGGGTTGGGAAGCAGAGATAATACAGAACATTACAAAGTTAAAAGTTTAATTTTGCATTTGTTCTGGCCATGAATCCAGTTCTACTCCTGAAAGAAATCCACTCTCAGATATGTTAATAAAGGTTATACTTCATATTCCCTTAAACTGAATAAGAGTGCATCAAAATATGTAATAACCAAAACAGAAATTAATAGATATTATATTGATATATAGGATATTTTAAAATACTTTTATAAATATTTCATAAATCACAAAGGCAACAAACAAGGTCGATTATGGAGGCTAGGATAATAAAATGAACAAAGTACCTTAACAGTTACATTGAAGAAAAAAAATTTTTTAATGTTTATTTATTTTTGAGAGAGAGAGAGAACGACAGCACAGCGGGGAGGGGCAGAGAGAGAGGGAGACATAGAATCTGATCTGTCAGCACAGAGCCTGACGCGGGGCTAAAACCCACAAACCATGAGATCATGACCCAAACTGAAGTTGGATGCTTAACAGACTGAGCCACCCGGACACTCCATTAGCTGCATATTGAATGTTATACCTTTCACATGGATACTTTTCCAGTGTCAATGGAATTTATTATCAGGCAACAAAGAAACGACTGATAAAATTTAAGAGTGGAAATTATATAGAGCACATTCTCAGAGCGCAATACTCTTAACATAATTACTAGTGAAATTTTAAATAATTTTTTTAGATTTTATTTTTAAGTAATCTTTATACCCAACGTGAGCCTTGAACTCACAACCCTAAGATCAAGAGTTGCATGCTCTATCGACCGAACCAGGCAGGTGCCCCAAAATTTTAAATTCTAAATAACCAAAATACTTGAAATTTTAACCAGAAGTGTATTAAACATGAAGATTCATAATATTTAGGAAAGGCTATCCAGATTTTTCTTTTTTTTTTTTTTAATTTTTTTAATGTTTTATTTATTTCTAGGAGAGAGAGAGAGAGACAGCATGAGCAGGGGAGGGCCAGAGAGAGGGAGTCACAGACTGAAACAGGCTCCAGGCTCTGAGCTGGCAGTCAGCACAGAGCCCGACACGGGGCTCGAACCCACCAACCGCGAGATCGTGACCTAAGCGAAAGTCAGACGCTTAACCGACTAAGCCACCCAGGCGCCCCAAGGCTATCCAGATTTTTCAATTTTCCTTAAGTGCTTTTTTTCTCTCATAGGCCTATATACATAATCAGAAGATTATGAATGAACCTTATTTTTAATCATATAAGGAAAACATTGATTTTTATCATTGTAAAATCATTGATATTATGAAAAGTTAAATGAGCATACTGCTCATGGGAGAAAGTAGAATTTTCCTAGAATGGACTCTTTTTCTGGTTGATCTTTACCACTGTGACCACTGAAATTAACAAAAGAAAACCAAAAGAAAGGCACTTTGCTTATGCCCATATGCCAGATAATTTATCTCCTATAGAGAAATGAAAGTGATGTTCAGGAAAACCTGCCAAGATGCGGCTGAATTAAATCATATTTTCCCAAACTAAGAATACTAATATGACATCATATTCCAGAATAAAGAAGTAGCACAGTTTTTTGTTTGATTTTGAGTAGACACCTCTTGTCTACTGCTGATCACATCAGTTGTGGCTTCATCGACCATTTCAAATGGTGCCTGGGAGTCTGGTTGATGGACAGCCAATCAGATGAGGATTTGATCTTTCTCCATGACAAAACCTGTTGCTGGAAGTCAGTTTTACTTAGTTTTCTAATTCTTGTGTGTCTCTTAATCTTAATCACTATCGCAGAGGCATCCTGTCTTGAGGACTTCATTACTAACATGACTGTTGTTTTAGTCTCCACTCATTTCTCAGAATGTTCATCTATAAGTTAATTCCAGAGTCTCCTGGACTGTAACTTTCACAAATGAAACACCTGAAGAAATGGAGTTCTTACCATGAGTCACAGACTAGTCTGGATTTTCCTCCTTCCTTGTTTTCTGTGTATTTATGTTTTCTCCAATTTTTCCCATGATGGCCTAGCTAGCATTTACTTCATTTAATAGGGAAGGTTTTGTTTAGTTCTTGTGTTCCAAGAACTGGTTAGAGTTATGTAACAAGTTTTCTAGTTCATTTGCTTTGTTGCTATTCTTTCTTTAGAATATTGTTGTCATTCTTTAAATAACATTTTTAGTTGTTTACTTATTGAAAAATGCTTCATTTTCCTTGATAAGGAATGAAGGCATTGGAGATCATGGAGTTTGCTCTTGGTATATAACCTTAACTTTGCCTCATGTGTTTTGACCTGTATTATTGCTATTTGTGTTATTATTATTATTACTATTTTATTTTTTACTGATCATAAAATTTCCAATCTGTTGAGATTTGCTTTGCCCACTTTTATTGTTAATTTTTTTATTACATTTTTTATTATATTGCTGTCAGAAGAAAAAAGCAGGCCATACTCTCTTGGAGGATATTTTTGAGGTGTTCTTTTTGGTGCAATATTTACAGTAAACCAGAGTAATCATTTCTTAATGTTTGCAAAGAAAATGTGCTTTTGGTTTACATTTAAAAATGCACCCAGGTTTATAAATTGTTGTAAATTTTCTCTATTTGATGTTTTTCACATTTCAAAAATAATGTATAAATGTTTGCTGTATGAAGTATGACAATGTACTAAAGATGTATAAATGCAAAGTTAATCATCTCCTTGCTCCTCTCCCTAAACTCTTGTTAAGAGCTAGAAAAGTTCTATTTTTTCGTAATTTTAAAAAAATGTTTATTTATTTATTTTGAGAGAGAGCGTGTGTATGTACATGAGTGGGGGAGGGATGGAAAGAGAGGGAGAGAGAGAATCCCAAATAGGCCCCACACTGTCTGTGCACAGCCTGACACGGGGCTCTTGATCCCACAAACCATGAGACCATGACCTGAGCTGAAACCAACAGTTGGATGCTTAACCAACTGAGCCACAGTGCACCCCTCGTAATCTTTGACACATACCTATTTAACCTTTTAGTCATTATTTTATCTTCTTTTATTTTAGTTTTTCTTGATACTACCTGAGAAAAGCATGTTAATTTTTCAGCTTTTATATTTTTGTTGCTTCTTATTCTACCCCTTAAAGTTTGTGCTTCATATATTTTGATGCTCTATTTGTTGTACAAAGTTCCATGATGTTTACTTATTAATTGTACATAAATATCTTTAATTATTACTAAGTGAACTTCTTTGTCTTATGTACTTCTTTTTGCCTTAATTTAAACATCTTGCCATTACTTTCTTTTTCTTGAATTCACTGGTTACACTATTGTTCCTTCTTTCAATTTTAGTCTTTCTGACATCTTTTATTTTCAGTGTACAGGTGGTTGGGTTTTGTATTTTCACCTAGTCAGTCTTTATATACATAAATTGCTTTAAAATATTTTATATTATCTTTTTATAGATATTATGTATAATATATAAATTGACAAAATTGTAAAAATGAAGAAAAAAGGAAGACACTCTACACTTAGAGGGAAGTAATAATATTTTGTTCTATTTCTTTCCTTTATTTTTATGCATTAAATATAACCTTCTAACTAGGTTTCTTCAAAATAATAAGGAAGTAAGTGTGCTGGGTGGCTCAGTCAGTTAAGCATTCGACTTCAGCTCAGGTCATGATCTCACAGTCTGTGAGTTCAAGCCTTGCGTCGGGCTCTGTGCTGACAGCTCAGGTCCCAGAGCCTGTTTCAGATTCTGTGTCTCCCTCTCTCTCTGCCCCTCACCCACTTGCACTCTCTCTCTCTATGACCTGTCAGTACAGAACCCAACACAGGTTCTGAACCCACATACCATGAGATCACGACTTGAGTCAAAGTCTGACACTCATCCTAAAAATCCAGGTGTCCCTTTAATTTTTTTTAATGTTTATTTATTTTGGGGAGAGGGAGAGAACAGGGTTGGGGCAGAGAGAGAGGGAGACAAAGGATCTGAAGCAGGCTCCAGGCTCTGCACTGTCAGCGCAGTGCCCAGTGCAGGGCTCAAACTCATGAACCACAAGATCATGACTTGAACTGAAGGCGGTTGCTTAACTGACTGGGCCACCCAGGTGCCCCCAATGTGCTAGATTTCCTGACTCTGAGCTTAGAGCCTCTCCAGATGCTTCCCTAGGAAAAATCTCTCTTACTTCTGGTATTTGGGGTTGTGGTATTACTTTTTTGTTGTTGTTGTTCCTGCAAACTCTTCTGTCTTCCATGAATATTCCAACTTTGTGGTCTGCACTCTTTTTCCACTTTCCAGCACTCTTGTCATTGGATTGTCTTTCAGCTTCTTTTCCACCTTCTCAGGGGAACCTGGGGAGGAAGGGGAACATGTCTGTTTAGTCTATCACCATGAACCAGCTACACATGTTTTGCTTTTTGTTGGCATATTCTGGGATTCTTCTTTTTTTAAATCTCTGTCAATTATTGCCAAAGTATTCTTATATTTTCATTGTGTAAAATAATAAAAACAGGGGCACCTGACTGGCTCAGTTGGAAAAGTGTGAGACTCTTGATCTGGAGGTCATGAATTTTAGCCCCGCATTGGTGTAGAGATTACTTAAATAAATACATACATGCATACATATATTTTTTTAATGTTTTATTTACCTGAGAGAGAGAGAGAAAGCAGGAGCAGGGGAGGGTCAGAGAGAGAGAGGGAGACACAGAATCCGAAACAGGCTCCAGGCTCTGAGCTGTCAGCACAGAGCCCGATGCAGGGCTCGAACTCACGAACCGTGAGATCATGACCTGAGCTGAAGTCGGACGCTCAACCGACTGAGCCACCCAGGCGCCCCGAATATTTTTAAAAATAATAAATAATAAAAACATATTTCTTTCAAAGCCATAATCACAATATTCAGAAGCAATGGGTACCACAGTTATAAGTGATTTAATTCTGTTTAACGGACCATAGTATTTATTGCTAATCTATCTCCATCACAGCTTCTTAACTTATATACTCTAAATTTGATTATTCTTTCAGCAGGGTCATTTTTAAGTAGATTCTTCAGAAACGTTTTAGAGGCGCCTGGGTGGCTCAGTCGGTTAAGTGTCTGACTTTGGCTCAGGTCATGATCTCTCGAGGTTTGTGGGTTCAAGCCCTGCATCGGGCTGCTGCATCTCACTGCTGTCAGCACAGAACCTGCTTTGCATCTTCTGTCTTCCTCTCTCTACCCCTCTCCTGCTTGCCCACGCTTGCACACGTGTGCACGCCTTCTCTCAAAAATAAATAAGCATTAAAAAAGAATACATCAAGGGGCGCCTGGGTGGCTTAGTCGGTTGGGCGTCCGACTTTCGCTTAGGTCATGATCTCGCAGTTCGTGGGTTCGAGCCCCGCGTCGGGCTCTGTGCTGACTGCCAGCTCAGAGCCTGGAGCCTGTTTCAGATTCTGTGTCTCCCTCTCTCTCTGACCCTCCCCTGCTCATGCTGTCTCTCTCTTTCTATCTCTCTCTCTCAGAAATAAATTTTTTAAAAAATTAAAAAACACTTTATTAATACTAAACTTAAAAAGCGCTTACATATTTAAGATTGTGTTTCTCAAGCCTTTACTTTTGGAAGATATCCTGGTTAGGCTCAGAATTCTATATCATATTTTTTTCTTTGCAACATTGCTCTATTACCTTGTTTCTAGTGTCCCTGTGGATAGACATCTAAGGCCTGCCTGATACATATTATTTTTCTTTAAAGGTGACAAGCCTTTCCTGGATGCTTATAACACTTTTTTCATACTTGAAACTCATCAAGTTATGTCTTGATCTTGATCGCTTTTCGATCTTGTCTTGATCTTATCACTGTTTTCTTGATGTATTCTTTTTTTTTTTTAAATATATTTTTATTTATTTCTAGGAGAGAGAGAGAGACAGTGTGAGCAGGGGAGGGTCTGCTCCAACTCATGGACCCTGAGATCACGACTTGAGCCGAAGTCCAACACTCAGCTGCCTAAGCCACTCAGCCTCTCCTTGATGTGTTGTTTTAACCTGAAGATTTAGATTTCTTCTTTCAGGAGAATCTCCTTTTATCAACTGTGAGTATATATATATATATATATATATATATATATATATATATATATTTTGGTTCTCTTCCCTATAAACGCATATTATGTGTGTCTTGAATCTTCCTGTTTCTTTTCACATCTATAACTCAGCTGTTAGCTAAGACCTCTTGGCCCTTTGAAGATCTAAATAACTGGTTTAGTCCCCAGTCAACTTCAGGACCTATAAAAGCCCAGAGACTTCCCAATATCAACGAAATCCTGTGTCTCTTTCTCCATATGCCATAGATACAAAACTGTGAACATATAAAACCACATACCTTTAAAAAATACACACACACAATTTCCCCCCTGGAAATGGACTAACGTCGCTATTTAGCAACCTTTAGTTGAATTTGGTTAAAATTTAAAAAGCTGTGAGGAGGGGTTCCCATCACAGGACTGGATCATCTCCTCTCTCTTCTTCCTCCCCTTCTGCTCCTCATTCCTTCCTCCTGGATGACTGTTCAGTTTCAAATTCTTCCCTGTATTTGTGCACAGTACTTCCTTCTTTCTTTCATAAAACATTTTTACCAACTTACCAAGCCAGAAGTGGGTGGGGGTGGGGACATTAGCAGTCATTTTCTACTCTTAGGATCTGCTCTCCCAAACAAAGGCTTTAGTCACTGCTGCATTCAGGTGTTTAAATGATGTCATCAAGATTATATTTCCCGCTCTTCCTCTCAGGTTATGTTTGTCTCTGCTGCTTTTTGTTTGTTTGTTTGTTTTGTTCCTCTATGTGGCCTAATTCTCTTCTGATACAAATAAATTCATTCTGTGTGGTAGAAAACAGGACTACTGGTAGTGCCAATCATATGTATAACCATATAATCATGGTATAAATATAAGAGAGTCCCTCTCTTTCCCAATATTTCATGTATCAAATCCTTTGGAATAAGGAAGATTGGATTTGCTTGGGTCAGCACCCAATGGCATCGTGTGAACATGGCGGGGAGTCATGACTGGATGGAGGGCCTACGCGCATCATCATTCCCATGGGAATCCTATGGGCTCTGGGAAGACCAGATCACTGGAGTAGAGAGTCTTGTTGCCCTGAGAACACAAAAACAACAGGTGTTTACCATATCTCACACTCTTTGGTATGGAAAAGCTCTCTCTCCCGCCCTGGCTCATCCTTCCTTGAGTGAAGGGTTACTTCCAGGACCTTGTGGAAACTTTTCATTTAATGTCAATATTGGTATCCTATTAAAGATTTGGGGAACTAGCTTGGCTTGTGTTTTCATCTCTTTTGTGATTGTTTTTTTGTCTTCTCAGCAGATTTCAGGGAGAAGTTACAGCAGGAAGTTACTTTTATGAAAGGTCTTTTGTTTGTAGCTTGTGAAATATGGTAGCAGCTATGCAGCAAATGAGAATGAAGAAGAATAGGGAATAGACTGAAGGAAAAATGGCCTGATAAACCCCAGCCTCTCAAAGTGAAACTAATTGTTGCAGTGATTCCTCAAGCAAGGGGCTCCGTGAGTTACACTGAGGCAAGTCATGACAGGGTGATTAAATCAGTACAAATGCTCAATCAGCTGGGTATCTGAGTGGTCCTAGAGTCAGAGAAAAATCTTGCTTTGAAGCTATTTACTAAAAGCAATACTCATTCACTGAACACTTCGTCAGGCACTGTGCTAAGTACCGACTATAAACATGTCATTAAAACAGACTACGTTTTAGGAACTTAAAATCTAGCTATTGTGTTATATACATCCTTTACTTCCTCCATATAGTTTATTCTTTATTATAAGTGATGATTTTAGAAGATTCTACTGTATTTATTTCCTTTCTAAAAGATACTTTTATGCTTAATTACAGCTACCATTTGGTGAGGTCCTATTCTGTTATATACCCGTTATACACACGATCTCTAATCCTCCCCCAAAGCCTATGAGATACGTGTGATTATCTCCACTTTACAGATGAGAACAGTGAGGTTTGAAGGAGTTAAGTAAATTCCTCAAGGTCAAGTGGCTGAGCCAGGTTTGGAACTCAAATCTCCAGGCTCTCTGTCTCCCACTGTGTTTTCTCCCTCATTTCTCTCCCTGCATCTTCTCACCTTTTCATCCCTCAGGCTTCTCAGTTTGACCCAGCTGTCCCCTCCCGCTGGCCCATGCCATTGCCTCTGGCAGTGGGTTGATGTCCACCTGGTTCCTCAGTTGTGGCTGGTACAGGCGGGCTCATGGGTTCTGATGAGGACCCTTAAGTTTGGCCATCAGAGGCAAAAGACTCCTTAGAAGAGGATTCTAGCATTAGAAGATGACTGGCATTAAGCACGGTAAAATGTAGTAGGACATACCCTAAAATGTGCCGCTTGGGCATAGGATTATTTTGAGCTGAACACAACTGAGAAAAAAGAGATATAAGAAAAGCTCTCTGCTTTCCCCATTTGCCAAAAAGCACGACAGAACTTTGTAAAGGTGCTCCCCTCCTCCCCTTCTCTACCAGAGAGGACAGAAATCAACCCCCAGAAACAACTCTAGACCCTTATCAGCCTGGAGATGACACCAAAGGAATCTACATAACAAACTTTATTAACCAGACTTTATCTTCCTTAGTTTCCCCATTTATTTGCTTTCTCACAATTTGTTACCACTAGGAGCTGAGTCATTTTCTTTTGTCTTGTCACATTTCCACAAAATTATTTTACAAAATTACTATTAAGATGATATAAAGGGGTGCCTGTGTGGTTCAGTTGATTAAGCGTCCAACTCTTGATTTCAGCTCAGGTCATGATCTCATGGTTTATAGGTTTGAGCCCCATGTCTGGCTCCTTGCTGAAAGCACAAAGCTTGCCTGGGATTCTCTTTCTCTCCTTCTCCCTATGCCTCTCTCTCTCTCTCTCTCTCTGTCTCTCTCTCTCAAAAATAAATATTTTTAAAATTACTAAATAGGGGTGCCTGGTTGGCTCAGTTGGTTAAACTTCTGACTTCGGCTCAGATCATGGTCTTACAGTTTGTGGGTTCGAGCCCCACGTCGGACTCTGTACTGACAGCTCAGAGCCTGGAGCTGCTTCCAATTCTGTGTCTCCCTATCTCTCTCTGCCTCTCCTCTGCTTGCACTCTGTCTCTCTCTCTTTCAAAAATAAATAAACATTAAAAAATTTTTAATGCTAAATAAACCCTCTTTGAGTTACGCATCACAGAGTACTCGCACTTGTGTACAATGCACACATTAGGAAACATCCATTTTTCTCTTGTTAATCAATTTGTCAGTCTGATTTGCATGGCCCAGCCACTAAAGCTAAGCTGGATAGGGGGAAAATATTTTTCTTCCC